AGAGATGGCTCAGTGGTTAAGAGCATGGGCTGCTCTTCCAGAGGACCCAGGTTCAATTCCCAGCACCCACATGGCAGCTCACAACTGTCTATAACTCCAATTCCAGGGCTTCTGACACCCTCATACAGACATACATATGGGCAAAACACCAAATAATATAAAATAGAAATAAATTATTTGCTGTGGGATGTTCTGTATGTCCTGTGGGAGCCCGTTCTTGGGCTCCTCGTGGCTTTACCCAGCAGGTCCACATAGAGGATGACTAGGACCATGAGCTTGAGTGCAGGTGTCTGAGACTGTCTGCACTTGGCTGTGCTGTGGGATGGTCTGTATGGCAAATGTATTGCTCTGATTGGTTAATAAATAAAACAATGATTGGCCCGTGGCTAGGCAGGAAGTATAAGCGGGACTAACAGAGAGGAGAAAAGAACAGGAAGGCAGAAGGAGTCACTGCAGCCCCCGCCAGGACAAGCAGAATGTGAAAATGCCAGTAAGCCATGAGCCACGTGGCAAGGTATAGATTAATAGAAATGGATTAATTTAAGATATAAGAACAGTTAGCAGGAAGCCTGCCATGGCCGTACAGTTTGTAAGCAATATAAGTCTCTGTGTTACTTGGTTGGGTCTGAGCTGTGGGACTGTGGGCCAGGCAGGAAAACTCTAGCTACAATTATTTTTTTTAAAAAGCCACTCAAGGAAGGGTTTATACATGCAAAGGCCAGAGAACCACCTGGAATGTTATTCATCCAGATGAATGAATTTTGGCTCATGACTTGAGGAAACAAAGTTCATCCTGGAGGGAAAGGCATGGTAATGAGAGCAGCTAATCTGTGGTTTCCTGGAAATAAGGCAGTCACAGTTCATCCACATTCAGGAAACAGAGATGCCAGCACTCAGCTCCCTCTCTCCTTTGAAGTCCAGGGCCTCAGCCTGTGGGGTGGTACCACATGCATTCAGATGGGTCTTCCTTTTCTTTTTTTACTGTTTTGGAAACATTGACAGACTGAGTAGTTTCTGTAGTGATTTTAAATCTTGTCAAATCAATGATCAGTATTAACCATCACATTCCATTATACTTTGAGGGCTATTTGTGAATCATAAAATTGTACCAGGTACAGTGAAGCATTCTTGTGTAATCCCAGCACTTGGGAGCTGAGACAGGGGCTGTAAAAGGTCTTCCTGGCCAACTTCGTGAGACAATGTCTAAAAAGTATAAAAAGGGCTAGGAACATACACAATAGTAATGGTAGAGTATGTGTCTTCTTGCCTAGCATTCACGATGCCCTGAATGTCCTGGATTTAATTACCAGTGCAAAACCAGACAACTTTAAGTTTTGACTTTATTTTTCTAAGAATAGGATGCATGACAAAATTGCCAAGCTTTCTTCATAACATTACTTCTCAATAACAACCGTAACTAAATTGCGTAAGTTATGTTTGCCAACCAAAAAACACCACTTCTAAAAATTATTGCTTTGGGGCTGGGTAGTAGAGCTACTTGTCTGGTGTGTATAGGCCATGGGATTAATTCCTGGGACCACACACACATGCACACACTCAGCTTCACGTGAAAATGACTTAGAGAACCATTTTTTAGGAGAAACAGCCCGTCTTTAGGACTTAACATTTGCACTGACTAGAAAGTCAGATTCAGCTGGGCGTGGAGGCAGACCCCTATAGTACTTCCGCTTTGGCAGTGGAGTCCAGATGACAATAGGAGTTTAAAGTCATCCTTAGCTGTATGTAGTTCATCTGCATTACACAATTTCTTTAAGTCAAAAAGGAACACCAACTAGGAGTTCAAGGTCACCTCACTACACTGCAAGGTTGAGGCTAGCCTGGGCTGCATAAGATTCTGTCTCAAAAATAAAGATTATCTACCCTACCTGTCTCAAAGTATCAAGTATTGAATGAGATGATGCATGTAGAAGCCATTTGTAAATAGTAAAGAGTTATATAAATTTAGTTTGTTAGTATATGTATCATAATTCTAATTTTTTTTTTACCAGCTACTTATGAGTCAGTCTTGCTGTATCAACTACAAGAAATAAAGGAGGTTCAGCGAGATGAAGCTTTCCAACTGCCACAAGACCTAGATTATCTAACAATCAGGGATGTGTCATTGTCCCAAGAAGTTCGAGAGAAGCTACACTTGAGTCGCCCACAGACAGTAAGCAAGCCAGCAGTGGGAAGAAGCAAGTTGTAAACAAAGCCTGGACTTAGAATGGTCACATGAGTGATCTTGAGAAACTTAATCTTGAGGCTGGAGTTCTTGCTGCTCTTGCAAAGGACCCTGGTTTGGTTCCCATGTTGGCTCACAACAGACTCCAGTTCCAGGGAATTTGATGCCCCCTTCTGACCTCTGAGGGCACTGCGTGTACATGGTGTGCTTACATACATTCAAAAACATTCATGACATTAATCTTAAGAACAATGTTAAAAGAACATTGTTCTTGAAAAAATCGTTGTTTGTTTTAAGACTTGGTTTGATTGCATTTATAATCTCATCCTGACCATGTGCTAAAAGCATCAGTGCACACCTCTTATTGTGTGACCACTGAGGCAAACAGTTTAATGTAAGCATAAAATTTTATTTCTCACCAAAAACAAAAACGGAAAACAAAACTGATTTTTCTCTTTCCCAGTAATTATGAAAAGCCAGTAAGTCTGAGCTAGAGGTGGAACTTTGTGCTCCCTTCCCCCTCCATCCTGAGATTTTGCCTGGCTTGAACTTAGACAGGTCTTGTCTGTTGTGTTCTGAAAACACTGCTTCCTTTAAGTCATCCAGTCTTAGCATCTTTCCATCCCTCTTCCTCAGACTCCTGAGCTTTGAAGGGAGGAGTGTTGATGATACAGATGACTCGTTTAGGGCTGAGCACTTACCCCTCATTTTCTGCATGTTGACCAGTTGGGAGTCTCTGTGTTAACTGCCATCCATACCACATATTTTCTTTAAAAAAAAAAAAAAGAGCAGGAGCAGTGGTGGCGCACGCCTTTAATCCCAGCACTCGGGAGGCAGAGGCAGGTGGATCTCTGTGAGTTTGAGGCCAGCCTGGTCTCCAAAGCGAGTTCCAGGAAAGGCGCAAAGCTACAAAGAGAAACCTGTCTGGAAAAAACAAAAAAATGGGGGAAAGATCTGTTGTTTTATGAGTGTTTTCCTTGCATGTGCTTATGTATACCACGTGCATGCCAGGTGCCTCTAGAGGTCAGAAGAGGTTATCAGATTCGGATCCCCTGGAACTGGAGTTATGTGTGGTTGTGAGTAGTCACCTTGTGGGTGCTGGGAGTTGAACTCTGATCCTCTCCAAGAGCAACAAGTGCTCTTAATCAGTGAGCCATCTCTTCAGCCCTCCCACAGATCTTCTTAATGGAAAGAAAAAGATATTATAACATGTTATGGGAATGGGGAGGAAGGTGATTAGGGAGTCTTCATAGCCTAGGCTGGCCTTGAACTTGAGATCTGTCTTGGTCTTCCTAGAATTAGAATTACTGGTGTGTGCCAAGACCCGGAAGTGTTATTGTTTGTTGACATGGTCTCCCTGTGTGGCCAATCTGCTCCAAACTTGCAGTCCTTCTGGCATGATGCCAAGTGCTGTGATTACACGCATGTCCAGTTTACTTTTGATCTTGCACACAGTTTTAACTTCTGAGCTGAAGACATAATGTCATATTTCCATTATCTGCTGTACAAACTTACTTTTAATGACATTTAAATTGTTTATGGTTTGAATATTTTACCTGTATATATGTGCACCATGTGCATGCCCATGGGAGACAGATGTAGAGGACATTGGATCTCTTGGAACTGGTGTTACAGATGGTTATAAGCTGCCATGTGGATATTGGGAACTGAACCTGGGTCCTCTACAAGAGAAGCAAGTGCTCTTAAGTGAAGAGCCATCTCTCCAGCCCTCAGATTTTTTGAGGGGAGGGAGGAGGAGGGATTTTTGTCAAGACAGGGTTTTTCTGTGTAGTACTGACTCTGTAGACCAGGCTGGCCTGGAACTCAGAGATCCACCTGCCTCTGCTTCCTGAGTGCTAGGACTAAAGGCATGTGCCACCATCACCCAACTCACGGATAATTTTTTAAGCTGGGTGTGATGGCACCTGCCTATAGTCCTAGCTATCATCTTGGGAAACTGAGGTGAAGGAGGATCTCTTTCACCCCAAAGTTCCAATCCAATCTGGTCAGTGTGGCCACACCCTGACTCAGAACTAAATACTTTATAATCTGTACTATAGAGATTGTGAGGAGAGCAGATTGGATGGGATGTAGCTCACTTTGGTTCTTTTGTCATTTAACTCCTAGATTGGGGCCGCTAGTCGTATCCCTGGAGTGACACCAGCTGCCATCGTCAATTTGCTCAGATTTGTGAAGACCACTCAGCAGAAACAGGCAGCAGTAAAGGAGCACCAAACCAGTTAGTGCTTACGTGGGATACAAAGAAACTTCGAGAACTGTAACTTCCATTTCATAGAGGACTTTAGAAGAAGCTTGGAGAGCATAAAAGGAGATAAAAATAACACCTGTGAGCATTGTTAGATTATTTTAGATTTGTCCTTGTAAGACAGAGGTTACAGTTGTGCATTTTTTTATGTATCTAGTCAAAATTGTTAAAGAACAATGTATAGTTCTCTCTGAGGCTTTTTACAGTAAGCTTATTTCTACAGGCCATATAGCATTCATCAGATTAATAATTAAGTCAAAACTAAGCCTGAAACTGAGGGGTGATACAGATTTTAAATAATCCATCTCTTAATAGGCTGAAGCAGGGCTGGGTAGTGATGATGCACACACCTTTAATCCCAGCACCTGGGAGGCAGAGAGGCAGGTGGATCTCTTGAATTTGAGGCCAGCCTGGTCTGATCAAGTTCCAGGCAGCTAGGGCTTCACAGAGACCCCCAGTCTTGAAAAACCAAAAAAAAAAAAAAAAAAAAGAAAGAAAAAGAGGTTGAAGCAGGAGGATCAGGAGCTCAAGATTAAATTGGCTACACAATGAGACCTGGTCTCAAGGAAACAAAGACAGCCACTTGCAAAGCCTGTGCTCCTTGGCCTGCCCTCTTCCCCGACACTGGACTGTCTCACTTGTTCTCTGAAGCTCTACCATTCCTGCCTGCTTTCTTTTAACCAAATGGTATTTCTTTCTCTCTCTTCTCCAGCTCCCTCTTGCTGACAGCTGCAGACATTTACAGCTTGCTTGTCCTGTTTTTCTCAAACTCTAGTAAAATTGTCCTTAAGCTTTAGAAACAAAGTATTCAGGGGCAGGAGAGATGGCCCAGAGGTTTGCTCCTCTTGTAGAGGACCTGAGTTTGACTCCCTATACCCACATCAGCCTGATGCTTGTAACTGCAGTTCAAGGTGTCTAATGCCCTCTTCTGGCCTCCACTAGTTAGTACCCAGACCTTCTCTGTGCCCCTCCCCAAACAAAATCTTTGAGGGGAAGCTTGCACTTTTCCAGTCCCAGGCTCTTCAGGAACACAGTTACTGTGTAGACATTGCCAAGTCTAAGAACCCACAGATATAACCAGTCCAGAAACACCATCAAGAAACCCAAGTATAAAGATAAAATTGCAAGGGGGCTGCTCCAAATGCCTGATGGGCATGTTAGTTTGTCAAGAAGTCTGAGGATGCTGAAGCCATCGAGGCCTTTTTAAGAACAGACTCCGGAAGAAGACAGACAATGTAGTCAGTGAGTGGACATGCTGAGGGTTATCAAGGCCCCAGAAGGCCTGTCTGCTAGTGTGGAAATAGATGAATTAATGTGACAACCCCATCCCCATATTGTGTGCAAGTGGCTAGTAAACAAGATAGGGAAAAATTTGAAAAAGAAAAAAAAAGATCAATTTGTAGATTTGCTACTCAAGCCCATGTGTAAAGTTAATTTGGAATACTTTACTCATAAAATACACCAAATCACAGGCTTAACCTTGTCTGCTTACTGTAGGTTAGAAAGCTAGGATAAGAAATGAAGACTGAAGCCGGGCGGTGGTGGCGCATGCCTTTAATCCCAGCACTCAGGAAGCAGAGTCAGGCAGATCTCTGTGAGTTCGAGGCTAGCCTGGCCTACAGAGGGAGATCCACGACAGGCACCAAAACTACACAGAAAAATCAAAAAGAAAAATGAAGACTACAAAACCTGCCAGATCTCTTAAGAATTTTTCAGCGTGTGTGTTATTACACTATTACATACATATAATCCTAATACTGGGAAAGGCAGGAGAGGAGAGCAGATGAAAAATGAATCAGCAGTTAAGTGCAGTGGCTGCTTTTTTTTTTTTTTAAGATTTATTTATTATGTATACAGTGCTCTGTCTGCATGTATCCCTACAGGCCAGAAGAGGGCACCAGATCTCATTACAGATGGTTGTGAGCCACCATGTGGTTGCTGGGAATTGAACTCAGGACCTTTGGAAGAGTAAGCAGTGCTCTTAACCTCTGAGCCATCTCTCCAGCCCCAGTGGCTGCTTCTTCAGAGGACAAGGAATCAAGTCTCAATACACACATGATGGCTCACAACAGTATATAACTCCAGTTCCAGGGGATCCAACACCTGGCCTTCATGGCCTTTTGACAGACAGACAATACATGTAGGCCAAACACCCATACATGTAATACTTTTTAATTTTAGCAATTGAAAGAGGAGGCAGGAAGCTCAGAAATTCAAAGTCATCTGTTTAGGCTAGTCTGGGCTACATCAAGACTCTGCCTCAAGTGTATGGGTGTATGAGAGGCTATATGTGTATCCCATGTAGTTTTGGAATTAATTTGTAGGTTAAAAGCTGACTTAGGACATTTAAATCTAATTTGGAAATTTTCAATAGTCATTAGTTTTTGAACATTAATGAAAGTGCTATAAAACACCAAGTTATTTTGTAAGCTGGTTAAGAGAGGTTAAAGATGGACATATATCATACAATAAAAACGTTTGATGTAATTGACCTGGCCATTATTTAACATTAATAAAGAAATCCATCCATAGTAACTGAATTGTGTCTAGTAATGCCATATCCTTTTCTGGTACACAGTATGTGATTCAAGAGCAGCATTGGGGTGACTAATGTGGGCCCCTTGACTAGCCTTTATGGGTAGACTAGGGGATGAACATAGCCACATGGGCCAGATGATCCTGTTTCTTTAATGCTAGCCAGTTTGTTAGCCTGCCTAGGAAGAAGCCCCTGTATTTGCTTAGGCTTCAGTTAGAACTTAGTGTTCCAAGGGCGCCAGTCACTTTGGCCATATATCCAAGGTCTGATTATGGGGGAGGCAACCAAATGTTTTGTTATATATGACATGGCCATTTGGATTTCTGTTTCATCTAGTTTTAGTCTTTCCAGGTCAGGTCAGTGTCTTTTGTTCTATAACTTTTTTAAAATATATTTTTTATATGCATTGGTGTTTTGCCTGTATGAACATCTGTGCCAGATCCCCTGAAACTGGAGTTAAGTTTTGTGAGCTGCTGTGGGTAGTGGGAATTGAACCCGGGTCCTCTGGGAGAGCAGCTAGTGCTCTCAACAGCTGAGCCATTTCTCCAGCCCTGATGTGTGTGTGTGTGTGTGTGTGTGTGTGTGTGTGTGTGTGTGTGTGCGCACACACACACACACAAATACATAGGGCAAACGTTAGCCAGGCATGACAGGTGACAGCATTGCACATCTGCAGCTAACGGCTGTACAGTGAGACTATCTTAAAAAAACAAAAATGTAGTGCACACCTGTAATCAAGACTTGAGAGGGGCTGGAGAGATGGCTCAGTGGTTAAGAGCACCAACTGCTCTTCCAGAGGTCAATTCCCAGCAACCACATGGTGGCTCGCTGGCTTGCGACCACTTGTAATGAGATCTGGTGCCCTCTTCTGGCTGCAGGGACACATGTAGGCAGAATACTGTATACATAATAAATAAATAAATCTTTAAAAAAAAAAAGACTTGAGAGGAAGGAGGATTGCCTTAAATTGGGAGGCAAGCATAGAGTACACAGCAAAACAAAGCCAGGCCAGCCTGTGATCCCAGCAGTGCTAGGGAGGAAGAGACAAGACGAAAGTCGCAAATTCAAGGTCAACCTGGTCTACCCAGTACTAGGCAGTTCAAACAAGCAAGAACCACACAGCAAGGTGTGCTCAAAAGTAGGGGGATGAGGTAGGGTGACTAAAAAGATGGCTTACCAGCTAAGATCACATGCTGCTCTTCCAGGACTTGGGTTCAATTCCCAGCATCTGCATGGTGGCTAACACTCATCTGTAACTCAGGTCCAGAGGATCCAAAACCCTCATCTGGCCTCTATAGGTACTAGGCATGCATGTGGTACACAGGTAATACCTGCAGGCAAAACACGTGTACATAATAGGAAAACGCTGTATGCAAAAATAGATGAACCTTTTAAACACATGCTGCTAAATGGAAGAAAAAAGGGGCAGAGGGAGGGCTAGACTCAGATCTACCAAGAGCTCCAGGCTAGCTGGGCTACAAGAGTTGGGCTTGTCTCAAAAAGGGAAGAGATGCCAGATAGTGGTGCAAGGCGTTTACTCACCAACCCGTTTCCCAGAGTTTTCTTGAGAGCAGCAGGAAATATTAGGATTTAGAGTGCGGAGACAAAGAGAAAATACAGGATAGCCTCTCCAGGGGGCTTGGAACCTATTCCAGCGAGCCCTGTCTCTGCCTAAGGCATTTATAAAAATGCCAAGGAGTGGAGTACAGAACCTCCCCCCAGCACAGCCAAGTGCAGACCATCTCAGACACCTGCACTCATGCCCGTGGTCCAATCAACTTCTCTATGCAGACCTGCTGGGTAAAGCCACTAGGAACCTGAAAACAGGCTCCCACGTGGTGGTGGCGGCGCAGACCTTTAATCCCAGAACTAGAGAGGCAGAGGCAGTCAGATATCTAAGTTCAAGGCCAGCCGGGTCTACAGAGTGAGTTCCAGGACTGCCAGCCAGGAAGAAACCCTGTCTCAAAAACAGCAAACAAAGGGGAAGGGGGAAGGGTGAATTTTAGTGTATATAAATGTCATAGGTAGAGTCCCTTGTGTAGTTTACTTTTGCTTTATGTGTAGAGTTAATGCAGCGTTGGATTTTTAAATTCAATGTTCTTTATTGTCATGTCTCCTATAGCGATCACAAACTGAACTCTTCAACCCTTATTCATAGGCCTTTTGGCGATTTCCACTAGATGAAAAGGTCAACACTATTTGGTACACAGTCATACAGCCATTTCCTAAAATAATTTTTCTTCAGAACTGGTACTGAGAAAACAATGTATTTGTCATGGAAGTTCCCAAAAAGACTTGCAAATGATGGAAGTGACTTTGGTGCCAAATAAGCAATACTGGGTAAGGCAGCACCTAAGTAACATGAACCAGGTCAGGAAAGTCAATTCTTAGGGAAAACAAGATGAGGATGCCTCATTTCTCCTTTCAAACAGGACCTAGAAGCCACTGTTCACTCCTATCAAGATTATCAGTCCTACACGACCAATAATTCCCAAAAAACCGACTGACTGGATCATGATGAACTAACATTAAAGGCCCAAAACACATGCAAGGCCATCTCTAGTTTTCACCTGTTTTCATAAACTGGACTTCTACAGTCAGACTTGCTTTGCATCAACTTAGTTATCAATTCAGAGTAAACAATTCCTATGCCCAAATGATCCGTCTCTGAAAAAGCTGAGACTAAGCACCCCAAATTTAATAAAAACTCAGCTGTACATAGTGCTATGTGCCAGCCTTGCCTACATAGCAAATTCAAAGCCAGTCTAGACTACAGGAGACCCTATCAAGAAAGAACAATTTTATTTAGTTTTGGTTCTTCAAGATTCCTATGTTGGGCTATAGAGATGGCTTAGTGGTTAAGAGCACTAGCTGTTCTTCCAGAGGTCCCGAGTTCAATTCCCAGCCACCACATGGTGGCTCAAAAATATCTGTAATGAAACCTGGCACCCTCTGCTGGCCTGCAGGCATACATGCAGGCATACCACTGCATTCATAATAAAACTTAAAAAAGTGTTATCATTGGCTGCCCTGAAACTCACTCTGTAGACCAGGCTGGCCTCAAACTCAGAAATCCACCTGCCTCTGCCTAGAAGTGAAAAAGTACCCTTTGTCTTGAGCTATGTTCCATTTCTTCCTAGTTCCTTTAGGGGTATATCAAAGTGAAATGTCAAGAATTCCAGGCTTGTGAGAATCTCAGCAACAGGAAGTGCTGGAATAAAAGGTGTGTACCACCACCACCACCCAGTTGGAGAACCAGTTTAGGTTTAAAAAAAAAAAATCTGTAGCTGGGCGTAGTGGTATTATGCCTTTAACCCCAGCACTAGCAGGCAGATCTGAGTTCAAGGATAACCTGGTACACAGAGTTCCAGGACCATCAGGGTTGAATACAGATGACCCCCAACCTCACACCCACCTCCCCCCCAAAATTGGTCGAGCCAGGTTGTGGTGGTACAGACTTTATCCCAGCACTTGGGAGGCAGAGAAACAGGCAGATCTGACACCAGCCTGACCCTGAACCAGAACACAAAAAGTATTCTGAAATTCCCATATTGGAATAGGTTTCTAATCCTATTCTCAGGAGGCCGTGATGGGGGGAATCACCAGTTTAAGGATTGCCTCAGCCTGACTGAATTTTTTTAAAAAGGAATGCTAGTTAAGTAGTATACCTGCCAAGGAAAATTGCCAAACTAGGTTGATTTTAAACACCCAGGGTGGCTGACAGTAGCACAGTGTAGGCAACAGCATTCAAGAGCATTAAAGATTCATCTGAGCTGGGTGGTGGTGGCGGCGAACGCCTTTAATCCCAGCACTTTGGGGGGCAGAGGCAGGCGGATCTCTGTGAGTTCCAGGCCAGCCTGGTCTCCAAAGTGAGTTCCAGGAGGGGCCAAAAAAAAAAAAAATAAAGATTCATCTGTTTAAAAGAGCATGTACCTGTGAACGAGAGGCAACTTAATAGGCAGACGTTTGTGTCCTATTGACTGAATTTATCAGGCTCAGCAGCACATACCTTTCTTTTAATTCTTGAAACAAAATACAGTCCAGTTTCGGTTTTTTGTTTTGTTTTCAAGTCAGGGTTTCTCTGTGTAGCTTTGGAGCCTGTCCTGGAACTCACTTTGTAGACTCAGATATCCGCCTGGTTCTCTCTGCCTCCCAAGTGCTGGGATTAAAGGTGTGTGCCACCACCGCTCGGCCCCAGTCTGTTTTCTAAGGATGTTGGTCTCCAAAACCTATTTAACCCAGGCAGGCCTGCAATTCCCTTAGAATTAACCCTTCAATCCTATATTTTGAATAGCAACAGCCCTTGTTTATTGATGCTGCAAAAGGCTTAGGTGTTTTTGACTTCCCAAGCACTACACTCAGAGGCAGAGGCCAGCCTGGTCTACACAGGTAGTTCCAGGACAGCCAGGCTACAGAGAAATCCTGGGGGGGAGGGGGAAGAGTCTCTAGAATACCTTTCTCAATTCTTTAAATTCCTTGATTTTTGCCGGGTGCACGCCTTTAATCCCAGCACTCTGGAGGCACAGCCAGGCGGATATCTGAGTTCGAGGCCAGCCTGGTCTCCAAAGCGAGTTCCAGGAAAGGCCAAAACCACAGAGAAACCATCTCGAAAAACCAATAAAAATAATAAATTCCTCGATTTTTGCCTAAATTTCCGTGCACATTAAGGCCTGGTACACAGGCCATCAAATCCCCCAAAGAACTGTGTTGTGTATCACTATATGGGTGCTGGAACTGAACCAGAAATACTCCCCTCACTTTCCATACCTGAATGAGGACAAATTCAACACAAGTCCACACACTCAAGTCTTGTAACTAAACATGTTATCAGCTAGCCTATTTAAAGCAAGCACTAAATATTTAAATCAGCTCTCACTTCTATGCTTTTTCATCAGTGCAAAAGACTACTGGTGCATACCTGGCATGTAGCTAACTTGGTAGAGGGCTTGTCAAGCCTTAAGGTCCTGGATTCCACCCCCCAGCTCCAAACACACATGCTCCTTT